ATACCAAACACTAACTGAGTATCATCTGCATAAGATAGCATACAACAGTGGACTAAACAGTCTTGCAGATCGATCGTATAAATCAGATATAGCGAGGGACCTAGTACTGAACCCTGTGGAACTCCATGTACTTTTTAATAGCACATGTAGTCGATAACGAATATCTGAAGTGATGCTGCTTTCAAAAATTTGCTTTTTCAGCTTGATGTGGAATTGTTCATCTAAAGAAAAAGCCCGCTACAATTAGTAGCCAGAGAAAACTCCTGGGGGGCGAACATTAGAAAGAAGCCGTCTGTCGCGCCAGCGGAAAATGAGGGAAAAGTGCTATTAGGATATAATATAATAGCCAGTGGGAACGGCCTCTTTTGTCATGTAATAGTACTTTGCAGACCTTTACTTAGAAAAATAGCGTAGCACATCCCTTAAAATGGTTAAAGTATAATGGATGATGAAACGAAAAGTTAAACTGCTTTCTTTCGTCTAGTCAACCATCTTGGGATAGTGAAAATTAATTTATTGATCCAGATTTTACCTCCAAAATGGTTTACACACTAGCCGAAAGAGTGGAAATGATTCTAATTGATGGTGCCCAAAATCAAGGAAACAATTTAGGAAACAAACTGACTGGGTCATTGTTTATTTTTAGAAATTTGAATATAGACATTTACGTTGGATATGTTGGAAAATACCATCAATCCGCTTATCACTGAAACCATTAAAAACCAAATCGAAGATTATAGAAACCCTGTACTTGAGGCTGAAATATATTTCTAGCAAGGCGACGCTCCTCCTCACTATGTTCTTCCGGTTCGGCAATGGCTGGACGACGAGTTTCCAGATAAATGGATAGGGCGAAGAGGGCCTATAGTATGGCCTGCTAGATCTCCTGATTTGACGCCACTACACTTTTTTTATATGGGGCCATTTGAGATCTATTGTCTTTACTCCCTAACCTGAAAGTGGGGATGAACTTCGTCAATGCATCTTCATAGCTGCCATGATATCCCACAAGACGTTTTTGAAAATGTCCGTCAGGAATTTTGAACATTTATTGCAATAAAAAGTGACATTTTCGTGTGTTTTTGTGTTCTATCTGAACACATTAAGACGAATAAAGATTTTTGTAATTTTTTTACAACTTACAACTTGACTGCTAACCATAAGTTAGTTCTCAAAAAGTCCAAATAAGTAGTTCTGAGATAATTGTATTTCGAATATTTTTCTTGCATTGTATTGTATGGGACTTGACATGAGTTAAAAAGTTGGAACTTCCGGAACAGAGAGATGGACGATGCATGTAGCAAATGAAAACTCACACTATTATCGTAAGCTTAACATGTTAAAATCTTTTTTGACAAAAATGGACATGACGTGGTCTGCCTCTGGGGTACAGTATGCGATAACTAGAACTAAAATATATAACTTGCTTTTCCCCGTATCCCCCTTAGGCCTTCGTGGTACCTGGTCTATGAAAAAATAATAAATAATTCTATTCACCGTTTTTCGTCGTTACGCCATAATGCCATACGAAATAGGTAAACAAATTGGCAAACTGTACCTTGAGCCGGAGCCTTACTTTCCTACAGTATATTCAGATAAGAGATAGACCGGACATAAACAATACCACGTGATCATCGTACGCTGTAACATTCGGCAGGGACGTATTAAGAGTCACGCAGTACATATTTTAGATAGTAGATGCTGCTTTGCGTAACTTTGTAGTAAATTAGCACAACTCGATGTGTATACGATTGGTGATGGATATAGGATCATGTGGGGGTGGGGTAAGAAATATATAATGATGTAAATATACATAAGGGTTTCAAAATTTTCGCTTCGATTTCCAGCTTCGGATGCCGTCTGATGTTTGGTGAAATACAGTCGAATATAATCTCAAAATGGCGTTTAAATTAGCCTAAATTAAAAATAATCGTATATCTCTTAAAATTGCTTTTAGAATATTGATTAGTATATTTTTTGATTTCTAGGTAAATATGTAACCAAATTAAAACGTTCAAAACGTAAAAAAATGTGCATGGTTGAACATTGTCAGAAAGTAGATTCTTGAATAGGTTTTGCCAAAATGGGTTCAAAAATTTCAATAATTAATTAAAAAATACAGTAGCTTTATAATTACTTATAACTTACCGAATTTGATGAACGACATCTTTTATTGGAAAGATGAGCTTGATGAGCTTTCATCATCGCTACTGCCTGAAGCACCAACGTCAATAACGAATGGCTCGACTTGTTCCTCTAAAACATTGTCCAGTTCACACATTCTCTTTACAACTTTGTCTTTCACGTGCTTAATACAGTTTTCCCATTTTTGCGCTGTTATTAATTCTAGTGCTTCTTTGAAAAGTCCTTTGAGGTCACAAAATTTTAAAGTTGTATTGTGCTTAGCTATATAATTTTTAACCTCTGCCCATATGAGCTCAATGGGATTGAGCTCGCAATGGTATGGAGGTAAACGGAGCACAGTTTTATTTTGACTTGCTGCCATTTCGTCAATGGCGTATTTTTGATATTCCGCCTTGTGATCCTTGACAATTCTTAATAATTGTACTTTCAGCATTGCTTCTTCAAAGTTGATATTTTTCGAGCGGAGCCAATTTTGAACATCAACTTTCCTTGAAGCCGTTGTTGGGACCTTCTCCATTCTTCGAGAATGATAAGGCGCATTATCCAACACAATTACTGCGTTTTCCTCTAAGTTCGGTAAAATTTTTGAAAACCACTGTTCAAATTCGCCATTCATTTCGTCGTGGTAATCTCCAGTTTTCTTAGACTCAAAGCACCACAGACCGTCAACAACAAATCCATCCTCACTGCTAATATGGCAGATAATGAGCCTTTTCCCTTTACCTGGAAATCGAAGTTATAACTGGTGTAGATTTATTTCAATAAGCGAACCTTTTTCAAATGTTTTCATCACATTCAGCGAAAAAACATTGAGACATGAGTATCAGATTGCTATAATTGGGATTATTTAGTCATATTGAAAGAAAGAATATTGAACGTCGTATGATTACTCAGGGCTTCACAATTTAATTTAAAGTTATAAACCTCTAAAAAATGAATGATCAGGAACCTGAAATACGCACAAATATTAATATTAACAAATTATAACTTTATAAAGCTTAAAGTATGAATTAAAATGATTAGAAATATTAGGAACGGTACACAATATAAAACTTAGTAACTTTTTTAAGTTTATAATATTCGACATATTTTAAGATTATATTAAAAAATTATTGAAATATCGAAAACACATAAAAACATGGCTTAAAAAAGTTCTAACAAATGAAAATGACAATAAAACATCCACGCATTTTATCGAAAGTTATAAAAGTTTTGTTACTTGTAATATGTTTTATCTGCCCCCTGGAATTAATGTTTAGAACCTTGTTCCCAAGGTTTGAAAAACATCCGATTGTTGTCTATTACTCGTATTTACCTGCTGGATTTTTTAATCCGGTGGACAGTCCATCTAGAAAGGCCCTCCTGGATGAAGTTACAGAATCATCAACCCATACTTTACTTGTAGTGTGTCCTGCGTTTACCCATGTTTCATCAAGGTAATAAATCTTCCTGTTTTGATTTCTATATTTCCCAATTTTTGTTAAATAATCCCTCCTCCATAGCACAATTTCTTCTCTATCCAGTAGTAAACTATTACGAGCCCGTTTTTTCCATTTGAAATTTAAGTGCTTCAGTAACGCATGGAAAGTTGATCGTTTGAAATTTGGCAACGTTGTATCTCCATTTACCTCCTGCAGTACTTTATCTATAGTAGGTACTTCATTCCTAAAGAAGAATTCGTGCACTTTCCTCCTAGTCGCATGCTTATCAGCTTCATCCAATGATTTAACAATAGTTTTGCGATGTTTACTGGTCATTGGCTCAGAAAAGGTGTGATTTTTTTTGTATTGTCTTAACACATTAAACACTGATGCGCGACACACCCCAACTTTGTGAGAAACCTTCACAACAATTTCTTTGATGGTTGATGCCTCGTTCTCCTCGCGCTCGATCTTATATATATTCAAAATGACCTCTTTCATTTCTGCACTCAAGTGTCTTTTTTTAGAGCGTTTCCTAGGTGGACTACAGGAGTTTACAACTTCATCGGCAGTATCTGTACTACTGGGCATTTTGCGCAAGCAGTTGATAACAATAACAATCAATAACAAGGTATAACAATAACAACGACAAACTCAACAACTTAATAAGATAACAAACGAAAACGTCCAAAGAAATATCAAATTGCAATGATGCACACGACATACGTAACACGTCTGAACCTGAATGTGACTCTGCCTTGATACGACTGCTCTGCCGCTCGGCATAGGCATTTAATTGCGAAATGACCAATGAGGGCTCCTGTTTTACGTCGAGACGGCGGCGTTAGCGTGAAAATCACCCGAACCTTTTGTTTACATCCGGTCTATCTCTTATCTGAATATACTGTATGCATCTGCAAAGCTTCTCTGGATGACCGTAGAATGGAGGTTGCCTAAGAGCGCTTAGCGCTTTTACATGCATTTTGATGCTTATATGATAATTTCACCTAACTAATAACTATGAGCGCGAAGTCTATTTTAAGTTAATTGTGACTGTACATACGATTTCATCGAGAACTTAAATTGTTAATAGCTACTTAACACAGACGGACATAACAAGGAAAATGGAACAAAGTAACTATCAAAATAGTATGAATTTGTCTCGTAACTTGTTTTTGCTTTTTTTAAAATTGGAATATTACGTGTGTTTTGTAGAATGATATGTAAACCTTTGGCCCACGTATCGAGGGGTTTAAGAGTAAAATACACTTACGACTTCAGTTTAAATACATAACAGAACGTAGGTGGTTTTCTTCTTTAATGTTTAACACAGACATGTATAAGATATTATATGAACCTGAGTATGTCTTTGGACTGAGTAGACTAACAGTAGCATGTATTTTGATGCAGTTGTGTAACCAAGAACGTATTTTTTTCAGTAAGAAATCCAACTTAGGATGACCGTGGTGAATGACTGGATGGCAGGCACAAGCTTTGGAGGGTGGGTCCAACGATGCAGAGAATCTCGACGCCTTGTGTTGGTCATAGTGGCCATTGCATTGCTGTTAGACAACATGCTGCTCACCACTGTTGGTAAGTGTAAGATTGAACTTTTAACGTACACGTCTTCGAATTAATGCTCCTTCTATGACCGAAGACTAAACGTACATTGACACAGCTTGATATTGTAATAACTGCGATTCACTCTTTTTTTTTGAGATAATAATTTGTGCTGTTGAGTACCCTGCTGGGATATTTTAGCAGGGAGTTCTATTGTGCCGATAACAACAACTCAGCCAGATCGGAGTACGTGAATCAGCTTATAGTTGGTTAGTGTCAGAGGCAATATGTATCTATGGCATAAAAACAAAATAATACAATGGTCAACGTGGATGTGCCACAAGGATCCATCTTAGGACCAACTGTATTCATCTATACTAAGTGACATATAAATCCGAACACCCAGTTTAAATGGTTTTATTTTAATAAAAGTTGGTGAATGTATTTATCTTACTGTAAATAACAAGTGAAAAAATTTTCAGCCTTATCAATTGGACCTTCCGGTTTTTATACTGCTTTTTTTTAATTCACCAACGCTCTAAAAATGAATATTTCAGCCGCAGTAAACAATCAACGTTGGCGGATTTTGGTTCTTGACATCCTTTACGATCGGTTACGATGCCTAGAGTACGGAGACCTGTACGATTTCGTCAACTTAGTGAGTTTGATAGGGGCCGTATAGTGGGACTTCCGGAAGCTGGACTTTCTTTTCGGGCAATTGCAGTTAGAGTGCAAAGAAGTGTAGACACTGTGGTTAGGTGTTGTCAGGCATGGCTTCGAGAAGGCCGTACGTAAAGAGCAAGGGGCACTGGACGCCGCCGTAGAACAACAGACCGTGAAGATCGCCGCCTAAGATTATTGGCCTTAAGGGACCGTTTCTCCACTACCAGGTCCATTGCAAATGAATGGTTTGCAGAACACGGAAGACCTATTGGCATGCAAAGTGTTTACCGACGAATGAGAAGTTTTGGCTTGTTTTCATACCGGCCACACTGGGTCCTCCCTTTAACTCGAGAACACCGACGTAATCGCCTTGAGTGGTGCAGGCAACGGTCACTCTGGGATCAGGAATAGAACAGTATTGTCTTTAGTGACGAGTCTCGATTTTGTTTAGGCATGCACGATGGTCGTGCCAGGGTTAGAAGGCGACGTGGTGAAAGGAAGAATCCACAGTTTTTTGTTGAAAGATCATCACACTGTTGGAGTTATGGTTTGGGGTGCTATAGCTTATGGTTCCAGGTCACCTTTAATCTTCATCAGAGGTAACATGAACGCGCAGCGTTATATCCACGAAGTTCTAGAACCCCATCTTTTACCCTATCTTGACACCCTGGCAGATCCAACTTTCCAACAAGATAATGCCCGACCACATGTTGCAAGAGTCACAATAGACCTCTTATAACATAATGATGTCACATTGTTACAATGGCCACCAAGATCTCCCGACTTATCCCCAATTGAGCACGTATGGGATATGATGGGTAGGAGATTGCTCAATTTGCAACGTCCTCCTCAGACTCTAGAAGCACTTCGAGAGGAGTTGGTGGTTGCCTGGAATGAGATACCACAGGAGGACATTGACCACCTGATCAGAAGCATGCCTAGGTGCGTTGGAGAATGCGTAGCACATCAGGGTGCATCCACATATTATTAAAGGTCAAAGGGCTTTAAAGCAGTGCAATCATTTTGAAATTTTTATCTTTTACTTATTATGCTTCATTAAGTACTTATACAAAATTTTATTAAAATAAAACCATTTAAACTGGGTGTTCGGATTTATATGTCACTTAGTATATATCAATGATAAACCTTTTGGTAAAACAAAGTTCACCTTATATGTAGATAGCACGTCTTTATTGCTGTCTTACGTCTGAGATGTAAGTGTTAAATGTAAGTGTAATAGTTTGTCAATTGTTTTAAATAAGTGCTTCTCAAAGTAGCACATGTATCTCAATTCGGATAAAACTTCAAGATTGGGGGTACACAATGCTCAAAAAATAAATCTTAAAGATACAAAACTACAATTAGAACAGCAAGTAAAGTTCTTCTGGATTCACTTTGACGACAAACTTATTTTTAGTATACACTGGGCTTTTTAGCTTCAAGACTGAATTCACGGTCATTTATTATGAAAAATTTGAGAAATACTCTATCTGAGCATTCATTAATAGCACTATACTCATACTCGGTAAGTTAGAAAAATGTTTTAAGATGTATAGCAGTTGTAGAGTTCAGGCATAGCTGTAGAGACTTATTTAGAAAATATATTATACTGACCCTACCTTATTTATTTTCGAGATGGCCATATACACCATCTCGAACCAGAAAAATTTTCTTTTACATAACCAAATTCATGGTGTCAATACTAAGCAAAGCACCCATCTGCGTACATAGCATAATTCTTCTAGAAAGTCAGCAAATGTGTTAAGTCTTAGAATTTTTAATAGGCTTTAAAAAACTTTTCAAAGACTTTTTACTTGACAAATACTATACAATCTAATTTCATGTCAATATGGATAATAAATATTATTATTATTAATATTATCAGCTTTGCCTCCATTCAACGACATGGTCCGATATTCGAATTTGAAAATCCCGGTGTATTTGTTCCGCATTGCATATTCCACAGCAGCTCTCTATAATGATATAGCTCCGTATCCTGCTGAACCATATTGTAGTCCACTTTGTGCGAAGCAACAATGTTAATCTTCCCACGATACCGGCTTCTCTCAGAAACAATACCCACTTCAAATCCGCTACCAGCGTTTGTTATCCTAAAGGAACAATCCCACTTCTGACTCTCCAGTTAATTGTCCCAGTAGTCGTTATCTCATCAGTAGGGTGATATCGTAGACTATCAAAAGGCACAATGTGTTCATCCCAACGTTTCGGAAGAACTATTCCTTTGAGCGGGATCCAGACTCCAATTTTGATAAATGAGATTGCTCGGCGTATTACGATCGGGGTTAACTGCACATCTTGTCAACGTACAAAAGATATTGTGGGGAGATAATATAGCGAAGTAACTCGGGCATAAGTTGCTCGTGTCATGTCATGGGTAGTATCTCAGACATTTAAGGCTCTTGTATTTTTTCTAGATTTATTGCCTTGTTGTACTGTCGTTTCTCAAATCTACGGTACTGATGCGTCTTGTAGAACTTCGGATTTCACTGTTTTTTCACTTGAAACTTATAGTAAATCATAAAAAGTGTGGATGAAGCACGCTTTTCATGATTTTTTTCCAAAACACTGTATTTTTTAGCAGTTATTTCCCCGATTATTTCCACCGCCATCTACCATATGACGTTGACGTCTGTGGATATGTCATATATGAGAGTCGCTTGACTGCGGTGTTGCCGGATTGGGCTCCGTATTTAGGGAAAAATATGAAAAGTGGAAAATTTATATACATTTATATTAATTAATGGAACAAAAAACAAAAAATTTAAACAAACAGTAGTAGTAAAATTAAAAGTGATTCTTACTAAGTATAAAGCAAAAAATAACAAACAGCAATAAAATAAAAAACAATTCTAAGTGATTACAAAAACAAAAAATTAAAACAGCAGTAAAACAAAAAACAATTCCATGTAGTTATAATAAACAAAAAACAAACAGTAAAATAAAAGGCAATTTGGATGAAATGAAATTTTTCGTTTTACTACTGTTTTTACTTTTTATTCTGTGTTGTCACTTAGAATTGCTTTTTATTTTTCCGTTTGTAATTTTTTATTTTTTTATAATTACATGGACCTTTTTTCCTACTATAATTATTTTTTGTTATCACTTTTTTAGCTCACTAGTGCTATTTTTTGATTCATACTTATTAGGAATCGCCTTTTATTTTGCTACTTTTGTTTGTTTCAGTTTTTCCTTTTTGTGATTCATTAATTAGTATATGTATATAAATTTTCCACCTTTCATATTTTTCCCTAAATGCGGAGCGCAATCCGGCAACACCGCAGGCAAGCACCTCTCATATATGACATATCCACAGACGTCTACGTCATATGGCAGATAGATGGCGGTGGAAATAATGGTGGAAGGAACAGCTAAAAATAGTGTTTTGGGAAAAAGATTTCATGAAAAGCGTGCTTCATCCACACTTTTTTTGTTTCTAAATAATCTATCAAACTACCCTCTAGAAGATTTAAGAGAAAAAACAGTGAAAAGACGCAACAGCACCAAATCTACTACTTAGCAAAGGTGTTGCCAATCTTGGGGTAAAACCTCAAATTCAATGTTTATTACACTACTCCAATTTGGTGGAAACTTAGCTAAGATAAAGTAACAGTGCTTTTGTAGTAGCGCTTAAGGGAAAATACGTTTGCAACTGCAACTACAAATCAGTTGTTTGTTTTCTTTCACATAAAAGTTATACGAATAAAAAGGCACACCCAGTGATATAATCACATGTGTTTCTACCTAGATCGATTAAAAGTGATTTCCTTCCTGTACCATTATTATATTTGTTAGTATAAGCGCGATATACAGGGTGTTCGGAAAATAGACGGAGATATTTTAAAGGGTGATTCCTTGTTAAAAAATATGAAAAAAGGGTTCGATAAATATGGGTCTGGTTTTCAAGATACATAAATTAAAAAAATTATTAATATCTCAAGAAATATTTACTCGATTTTGTTGGAATTTGAATAGATTAAAATTATTAGGTCCAGTGGCATCCCAGTGGCACCTTAGCGAATATTATTGCCCGAAAAATGTACGCCACTGCCTTTTTTGTATTTTCAACATTAGTTGTTTGATTAAGCATCTAATAATACAACTTCTTTGCCACTTGTATTTTTTCGTATCTCAATTCGTTTTTGAGAAAAAAAAATAAAAACCGTTCCTGTTTGCAAGCTGACATTGTCTATGGCGTGCAATAAACTTTGTTAATCCAATGAATTTGATTGCATTAAAAGCACACATAATGTGAGAAATATTTATTTCTAAAAAAAAATGATAGAAAAAAGGAGCTTTGTGGATTCGAACCTCCGTCCTGCGGTTCTGCAATCGTTGCTATTTCCCATGAC